GCTCTTCCCCACGTCCCGATCACGGGGGCGTTGCTCTGGGGTCTCTCCGCTCCTGGGACGAGGAACTTTGAGGCACGTGCCCCTTCGAGTCTTTGTTACCCTGTGCTGCCGAGTCTACCTCTCCCTCTACCGAAAGAGCAGCCTCCTTGTGGCTTCTACTGCCCTTTATGACGCTCACTTTCAGTGGGGAAAGAAGAGTCGTATCTTCTCCTCCTTTGGCATAGCGGGAACTGGGGCCCCTTCCTCCTCTAGAAACAGCGCCATCTTCCTGACCTTGAGCAAGTGCCGTCCCCCTCTCTGCCTCTCCCCCTGGCCCTGAACTCTGGGACCCCCCAGCCGGGGCGCTTCCCGCCTCAGAGGCCCATGTCTCCCGCGGGAACCTCGAGGCCTGGGCAGAGTCCACGGCAGCGGCTGCCTTGTCAGGGGTGGAATTACTTTCCCTGCTTCCACCCGATTTTTTTCGAGGGCGCCCCCGTTTCCTTTTGGCGTCGCTTCCTGTACCCTCTACCTCCTGCTTCGCTGCTTTAGCTGCCGGGTCCTGCCCGTTGGCCTCGCTCCCAGGGACTTCGGCTGTCCTCTTGACACCCCTGTCCTGGGGCCGCGGGCCGCCGCCCACGCCTAGCTCCCTGCCCTCCGGGCCCTGCAGCCCCGCAAGCGGGGCCTGCCCAGGCCCAGGCCCAGGTCCAGACAAAGCGGGAACGGTTGGTAAGATCATATTAATGATGGGCACGGCTGCCTGGGGGCCCCCCGCCCTGCAGGGCAGAGGCAACGCGGCCAATTTCAGAGCGCCCGAAGGCTTGGGGGCCAGGATGGACGGGGAGACGCGGATGGGCGCGATGAGTGCGCGAGGGGCCCGGGGCAGGAGCGGGGGCAGCCGGGCCACCAGGGCGTTAACCTGCGGGTTGGCGGCTGGCGCGGCGGCCGGGCTCTCCGCCGCACTCTTCCTCCGCTCTCCGCGTGCTGGGGGACCAGCCCCCGCCCGGGCTTCCGGCTCCTGAGGCGGCTAAGAAGTAAAGGGAGGGAGGAAACACAGGCCCAGGAGGTGACACAGGAGGGGACCCACGGAGCGGGGTGCATTAAACCCGCGCGGCCCAGGAGAGCAAGGTCAGGGGCACTGACTTCCTTACCTGGGCTGGTCTCTCTTTCTTCTGGGCTCCGCCCTCCGGGGTCTCGACACCATTCTTGGGCTTCGAGGACCGTTCCCGAGGGGCATGTTCCTCCTCTTCTGCGGAAGTGCCAGAAAAGGGAGTCAGGTGAGGACAGAGAACGGAGAAGAGCAGCCATCTGACTGACTGACGGGTAGGGGCAGGGGAAAAAAGGAGCTCTAAGGCATGTTCTAGAAGGGTCTCTGGGAACAGAAGGCAAATCCAAGAGGTCTCTATCTTTGGGCAGGGTGGGGGGTGGCTTTGAGGTTGACAGTGGCAGAGGGTTTCTCGGCCGGGCAGTGAGCAGGGCAGCGAGCGAGGGCTCACCCACCAGCAAGCCCCACGGCCTTGAGCACGTGGGCGTGAGCGGACCGGGCGGAGATGAGATGCTGCTGGAGCAGGAAGCGGGCGACCTCGACGATGGAACCGAAGGACCGTTTCAGGATTCGCTCTGCCCAGTCACAGGTCAGGGCACAGGCTGCCTCGACCAGTTCGTCCCGAGGTGCTGGGGTTACTTCTGGGCCCATTTCCGGCTGCAGTGGGGGAGGACGTGCCCATCGCATTCCACAATACAGGAACCTCGGCTCCTTGGTCCCTCTCCAACACCCATGTTGAACACAGGAAGATCGGACTGGGGGTGGGCGCAGCCTGTGCCAGCCCGTCCCAGAAACCCAATTCTCTTCATCCTCTGCCTCAGCCGTGGGGTGGGCACAAGGCATAGCCTATACACCCAGAAACTACGTGCACGAAGACCTAGGCGGTGTCGGCCCTCAAAACATGTCCCGAAGACCTCTGACTTCAACCTCGGGGAGAAGAATGCAATCAGAGGGTTGTTACTTACACTCTCAGAACCCTTTAGGTCAAGGCCCGGCAAGGGTGGCATCGATACCAAGGTCTTTCTTCGTATGCCACTGTAGCAATATCTGAGGCAAGTTAAGGAGCAGCCGGCATGGAGTGGGGGTCTCCGAGCCCCCTCGGAAGGTTAGGCTGTTTGCCCTCCTGGCTCTCCACACGCACACGTCCTCCTGCCCAAGTCCTCCCGTCCCAGCCTCTCTAGTCAAGGATACTTGGACTGGCCCCGGCCACCAAGCCTTCGGGCCTTGATGTCAGGGAATATCTCTCTGATGATTTTGCCAAAGTTGGCTGTGCTGAGTGGGCGGCAACAGGCAAGGCTCTCACAGTACTTCCTGAGTGAGTGGAGGGGAGGACAGAGTGGGAAGATGCTCAGAGAAGGAGGTCACGGATGGGGTCAGAGGGTCCCTGGGGATCAAGTTTGGGACAGTCTTTAAGAAGTCAGGCTCGTCCAAGGCAGGGAGCTCTCCAGGGGCAAAGAGGAAGTCCTATGCCCACCAGCCCACCCTCCGCCCCCATCTACCCACCGATAAGCATCATAAACGCTTTGCTTTGGCAGACAGGTGTCGGTATGCTCTTCTAGGTGGTTGCGGATCCACCTGTAGGCATACATGTACTCCTCATTGCTGAGTGTACTTGGCTCTGAGCTACAAGAGAAATAAAAAAGAAAAGCAATACTCAGACCCCAGCAGCTGGCCTGGCTCTATGCAGACACCGCTTCAGAAGTGCTGGGCCATTCACCTTTCCCCAGTAAACCAACGCAGGACAGAGATCTTTCTTCTGGATCGAGGACAGACATGATGAGTGTTCTTATTCACCCCGCCCTTTCCCATGAGCCTTTGAGAATCGGAAGCTCTGATATCTAAAGGTCTAGCACCAAACCTACCTTTTGTCTCCAGTACTGGGCCCTGAGGGGAGCTGAAGGTAGAGATACAGCTTGTCGTTGTCGGAGAATTTCTGTACATCTTGCTGAGGGAGGGAAGAACAGAGGCAGAAGTAATATGGACAAGAAGGACCCCAGGTAGGACTCTCTGATCCTGACCAGAAAGCCAGGCTGACTCAGACTGTCAGACTGAAAAAGGACCTGGGAATGATTTGAGGATGGGTGCTCACAGTGCTCTGAGGAGCACTTATGGGTCACCATGGTGACAGAGGAGGAGAGGGGATCAGCTCCGATTTTATTTCTTCTGGGCTTTCACACAAGAAGTCTGAGCAAGATCAAGTGAGATGCTCCAGGTCAAATCGCTAGGAAGTTACAAAGCCAGTCATCTTCGGACAGGGGGACAACACTGTCTCTCCCACAAAAACCTTCCGTTTTCTCATGTCCTCACCAGCCTCATCCCCCACCTATCGCCCCCTTCCCCAAAACACTTACCAGGATTCCCTCTACTTTGTTCTGCACGGCCTTGCTGTGAAGAGAAGAAAGACAGAGGTCAGACACAAGATTTTCCCCATCCTGTGACTGACGTGCCTGGCAGGTGCTCCAGAACTGCCAGCGTGGGGAGAGCCTCCCCCGGTCAGAAGCACCTGCTTGGGGAGAGGCAGTTCACAGAGGAGGTGGCTGTTACAGGGATCTAGACCCAGGTCTGGGACAGGATCTGGAGGTGGTGGTGAGTACTTACGAAATGGTACCTCGGAGCCTCTGAAGGAGGGTGGTGGGTTCCCCCGCCTCGGCGCCACCTGAGGGGGCCCTTCCCCCAGTCTTCGGGCTCTTAGCATCAGGTTCATCTTCTGCCATCCCGGCATGAGGGCTAGAGTTGACAGGACATAGGACGGGAAGATTTAACTCCCCTTCCCCGGGGAACCCCAGGGCACCCCTCATCTCTCTGCCCGGAAAGAGAGAGAAATAGAAGTCAGCCTCCCAATTTCTCCAAATATTTGAAATTATCCCATTACTCCTCCAGGCCCCTAGAGACCCCACAAGATCTTTGGCGGCTCCATTCTATCTGCCCCGCTTCCTCAGCCTCCTAAATGTCTAAACCTGTAAAGGAAGGGCTAGGGGGATTGGGAATCCACGTTAGAGACCAATTTCCATTTCCGCCTCTGACCCCCAATGCTGCCTTCTCAAAGACAACAGACACAACCACGAAATAAAGTTCTGATCCTCTAATAGACTCGTCACCACTGAATCTGCCTGGGAGGTCAGAGAGGATACGAGCACATTCTGCCCTTCCAGGCTTGGAAAAAACTGGGCCCAAGTTCTCATTACTTAATCTCGCCACGGCTCCCCCCGCCGCTCCCCCTCCCCACGCCGCCGGCCCCTACGTCATCTCCCTCGACACCCCATTCGGGTGCGCGCCCCCACCGCCCGCCCTTCCCCCTCCATCCAATCCCGCGTTGCTGTAGAGTAGGGGGGGTCCCGGCAGCGGAACTGCTGGGCTGGGCGTAGGAAAGCCGGTGGGGGGAACGAGGTCCCAGATTGGGGACACGTGCACATGGCGAAGAAGCTGTTGAAAATACAGCTCAAATCTGTTTCTGCTCTCCTCCCAACTCGTATCGCCCCCTCCCTACCTTTGAATGGTCGCCCTTCCCACACAAGCAACAATAAAGGAAAAGGGAGAAAGAGAAACTACCTCGCAGCCACCTTCACTCCAGCCCAGCCCCACGGTCCTGGCCCAGCGGGCTCGTGCGTTGCTTTATTTTCTTTTTTCTGAATGGCTGGAGCAGCCCCGATCTGCCTAGATACTCGGACGGCCTGCTCTCTGATTGGTCGTTGCTGCCACCCGGAGACAGAAGGCGCCGGGCTCACACCCGCGGCAGCTGAAGTCTGCCTGGTAACAGAATCTGATTGGTCAATAGGGGAGGGAAAATCCAAAGTTGGTCTTATTTGAGTCAAGAGGGGGAAGTCCGGGTTAGGTTTCGGTTAAAACTGGGGTCGGTTGGGACTGCCGGTCCCGAGAGGTTCTTCTCTTAAAGGGACCGCAGGACGAGAGACCCAGCGCCTGGCTCCCATTGGTGCTTTCTTTTCTTTGGCTCTCTCCTTCCGTGTTTCAGTTTTGTCCTCGGCCGTCAGAGCTACTGGAAGACTTAATGGATGATAAAATAACTAGAAAATTAGGGGTGATAGTGACGGAAGTTTGCTGTAAGCTCACATAACCCCCTTTTGATGAAAAACAAGTTGAATCATTCCTCCCTCCCGCCCCCCCATATGCGTACAGGTACTCAACCTTCAAATGGGCTCTCTGACCTCGTCGTTGAAGGCCTGAAACCCCAGCAAGCTGTGCTATATAGGCCGAATTGTAAGCTAAGATGCTCGTAATGTTCCTTGGTTTCCCGCGTATATTCTATTTCCTTCCGAAGAGTTGCTAACGCATTTACATCCCATACTTCTGCACTGACACTAGAATTTTCGCCTGACTCTTCCAGTGGGTGCCGGATGCCCACAAGAACTTTTTACTCTTAGAGAACTTTGTATCGAATAGGTAATGGATTCTTAACTCTCTTAGCTAAGGTTTTTTAAGGTCATGAATCAGATGAAAGCAATGAGCTGTGAAATTTAGAAAAGGAAATTGGAGTGGGGAAGGTCTCTAGAGGGAGCTCTCACACCCGGTTCCCCCCAACTGGAAGAGACGACCTTGCATCTCCAACAGAAAGGCGTTTCTGCTTTTACTACGCTGTAGGAGAAAGGGAGATTTTCTTCTCGCCCGACCAATGGAAAAAGTGTAGCTCAGGCAATGAGAAGCTGCCGTCGGCCCGAACTCTTACTTTCTTCCATGAACTTCCATTTTTTTTCTTTTTATTTTCTAATGGCATCCTTGCCCCATCCTCCTTTCTGTAAAACATTTCCATTTTTTTTTATGACTCCTCTAAGCCTCGCTCTACTTCCTAGGCGAGAGGCTCCTGATCTCATGCATTGTTTAATAAAGCCACTTAGATCTTCAAAATTTACTTAGTTGAATTTTGTTTTTTTAGCAGAACCCTCTCCCATGACAAATGCACATGCAGATCAAGTTTTGCATCTGTCTTAGGTCACGGACTCTGGGTTAGTAACTGTTTGAATGGGTGTATTTGGTTTTGTGCAGCAGATATGTTACACCCAAAACTATACTTGAATCCTGATTTCTGATGTGTTCTCCAGTCTCACCATCGACGTGCTTTGGTAAAGAGGACAACAAGTTTCTGTGGTACTGGGAGAATTGCTGGAATAAGGATATGCCAGCAAGAAGGTTTTCCAATCACGGCTGTAATTTATTTGGTGTTTGCTGAGTGTCAGATACCGTACCAAATACTAAACACCTCATTTAATGCTCACAGCAGCTCTTCGAAGTAGGTACTATTATTGTCTCCATTTTACTCACTAGGAAACAGATTTGGAGAGGTGAAGGGACTTATCAACAGTTGTATATGTAGTAAGTGCTGGCTGGAATCAGGATCCAAATCCGGGCAGTCTGCCTTCGGAGTCCATTCTCCTGAAGACTGCCCCAGCTGTATGTATATATATTTGTAGATGCTAATATATAAGTTTGGGTACAGACTGATGGAAAGATACCCCGAACACCACTTTTTGGTATGAAGGGAAATATTGGGCACTTTGATTGGAAAGAGTTTGGGGTAAATTCTGCTGGCTCAGAAATTTGCAGGTGGCAGGGAATAACGGGAAGCTTTAGTAAAGGGAAGAAAAGTGTCATAGCTACAATAGGGAGATTATTTTGACAGCACTGTAGAAAGGTAAGGTTGAGTAGAGGAGAATGATACCCTTCATTTGGGCCAGGTGTTGTGCTAAGAGCTGAGGATACAACGCCGAGTAAGGTATGATGGTCCCTGTCTTAGAAGTAACAATGAAAATGGCCTGATAAGCATCATCAAAATAATGGCAAATATTTATAGAAAGTTAATATGTATTGAGGATTGTTCTAAGGGCCTCGTATATGTTACCTTTTAATCTTCTGATATCTCTATCAGAAAGGTATTATGATTATCCCCATTTTACAGATGAGGAGACGGAGGCATTGAGGTTAATAATTTGCCCAGCGTCATGGAGTAAATGATGAGCTAGGATCTGAACCAAAGTTATTAGGCACTATTATACATTGCCTAATAATAGTGGGAATGAATTTCTTAAACAAACACAAGAATGCAAACCATAAAGGAAAATATTGATAAATGTAGATACATTAATACGAAAACTTAAATTCATTTAAAAAACCACTATAAAAAGGATTCGAAGGCAAGCTACGAATTGGGAGGAGATATTTTCAAGACTCATAACTGACCAAGGATTATTATCTGGAATTTATAAAGACTTCCTACTAATAACCAAATAGATTGATAACCGAATAGAAAAATAAGCAGAGGAAATGAACAGGAATTTCATAAAAGAAGCAGAAATGGCTCATAAGCATAAGAACAATTGTTCACTGTCTATAGTAAGCAAGAATACAAATTAAAACCGCAATAAGAAACCATTTTATACACAGAGAATTGGGGGAAAAAATCAGCGGGAATTCTCTTGGGCTGAAAGGGAGGGCAGCTGGAGCCCCAGACATCCCTCTTAAAGGGCCCACACATGGACTCGCTGATGGACTCGCTTTCTCTGAGCTCCAGGGCTAGGGAAGCAGCCCGAAAGGCACCAGGGACATATGGAGAGGAACTGTCTGGCTTCAAGGTAAGGGCTGAAGGTGCTGCTCTCTCTGAGACTAAAGGGTCATTGTTCCTTTGCCGAGCCCCGCGCCCCACCCCACCAACTCAACATGTAGGTGGTACAGGCAGGCACCATATCTGAGTCTCCATTAACTTGGCTAACATCGCTCTTGACCCACCTTGGTGATTCTCTGAGACCCCACCCAATTCACATGCCTGGCTTGAATCTCTTTCAGAAGCTAATCCACACAACGATTACTTTAAATGTAAATGGACTAAATCGAAAGACAAATGAATAAAGAAGAAGTGGTACATATATATAAACAATGGAATATTACCAGGCCATAAAAAAGAATGAAATCTTACCATTTGTGACAACATGGATGGACCTAGAGGGCATCATGCTAAGTGAAATAAGTCAGACTTAGTAAGACAAATATCATATGATTTCACTTATACAGGGAATCTAAAAAACAAAATAAATGAATGAAGGAGACAGAAACAGACTCATAGATACAGAGAACAAACTGATGGTTGCCAGATGGGAGGGGCGCTGAGAGGCTTGGTGAACAGGGTGAAGGGATTATGAAGTACGAATTCGCAGTTACAAAACGGTCGTGGGAATGTAAAGTACAGCTTGGGGAACACAGTTGGTAATATTGCAATAACTATGTATGGTGTCAGGTGGGTGTAAGACTTATTGGGGGGGTCACTGCATAAATTACATAAATGTCTAACAGCACACCGAAACCTAAAACAAATATAATATTAAATATTGACCATAATTGAAAAGAATTAAAAAATAAAGTACTGCTTAGCACAGTGCATGGCATGAAGTCAGCTTTCAATAGGAAAAAAGAAAGAAAGAAAGAAAGAAAGAAAGAAAAGAAAAAGGAGGTTGGTCCTCGCTCACCCACCCCTGAGATGAGTGTAATTGCCTGGTTGCCCTTAGGGACTCGCTCAGCCGCGGTGTGCAGAAGGGCTAATCACACCTGACGAACCAACGATGGGGCAGGCATCGCCCAATACTCTCTCACATTCTTTGTTGTGGTGGACTGGGGCTATGGCTTTTCTGGAGGTGTCCCTGAGCTCAGCAAACTCTCTAGAACCTTCCAGATGGCCTCACTGGCCCACATGTGGAGCTGACCGTGGTGCTGGAAGGACATCCTGGATGATAAGCTGGACATTTCCCACGGCTCACTGTTCTTGCTTGGCCAGCCTGCAGCTGGGAGTGGGGCGGGGCGGGGCGGGGGAGGAGGGTGGTGGAATCTTTGTGAGTACAACTGAGAAGTCTTGTCAGGCTGTGACAAGTCAAACTGCTATGAACAATTGATCTCGACGTGACCATTCTTTGTCAATTCTTTGGGATAAATGCCCAGGAGTTCAAAAGGTGCATCATATGATAAGTGCATGCTTACTCTTTATAAGAAACTGCCAAACTATTTTTCAGAACAGCTGTACCGTTTTACATTTCCACCAGCAAGGTATGAATGATTTGTTTTTTTTCTCTCATCCTCGCCAATATTTTGTGCTATTACTATTTTCTATTTTCAATATTCTGATAGGTGTGTAGTGATGCCACATGGTCTTAATTTGCATTTTCTTAATGGCTAATGACGGTGATCATCATTTCATGTGCTCATCTGCATTTGCATATCCTCTTGGATGAAATGTCTGTTTATGCCTTCTGCCCATTTTCTGATTAGAATGTTTGGTCTTTTACTGTTGGGTTTTGAGAGTTTTTCATGCATTCTAGATACAAGTCCTTTGTCAGATACATCACGTGTCCTTTAGACATAACCCTGATAGCCTCCAATAGTTTCCTTGCTTTCTGGTATTAAAAGTACTCAAGATCCATCTTGTCGAATAGAGTCTCAAGCATCTAGAAATATGTAGAAATGATGTCGAACTATATGATCCTTTCAGTTTGTGAAGCAGTTTGGTTATTGAAAAGGACCAGGCAGAAACCTCGGAGAGAAACTTCTGGTAAGATCCAGTAAATTCCGAGTTTCCATGTAACTCTTTAATCATCCCAATCTATTATCAATCACCTCCTTTCTACTCTTTTACTTATTGAAGCACACTTTGTGCTAATATCCCAGCTGGGTGCTGGGAATAATTGGGGAGATTTCAATTCACCGTGACATCTGTTCATGCTGAGGTTAAGTGCAGGTTAAGGTAAGAAGACTTGCCAAAGGGTATGACGACCTGGCCCAGATGGCAGGTACGACAGGAGGAGGGAATCAGGAGTCAGGTTAGGGAGATGTTTCAGGAACATGATGAAAAGACCTCAAAGGGAAAGAAAGTGTGACACGTCTTTGGGGTAGTCCCAGATGACGCCCGTGTTTAAACAAAGACACCGTCGTGGACGCCGGAAAAGAAGGCAGGTTAATCCCTGAGCGCCGCTTCGCCGTGTCTTGGGTAGAGAATAAAGGAGTCGATTGAATTACTGCTTGGTTGCTGTCTCCCTACACTCCCATCCCATACCTTTTGTGAGGAACTTAAGCCCTGGCACAGAGAAAGGCAACACCTCTGACTTGGGCAAGGTTCGAAAACACTGTCCCGGTGAGGAGACGAGAATGCAGGGCCTGGTCTGTTAGGCGGGTTCGTGTTGATGTCCCCAGCCCTCCTCATGGGAACGTTCCTGTCTTCCAGGTAGGAGGTGACACACCTAACCTCCCGCCACTGTGTGTTCTCCAGGGGGTTTCCCCAGCGGTGGAATGGGTTACGCTATCTTCATCAGGGGTCTTGGGCGGCTCCTGTGCGGGGGTACATATTACATTCTCCTGGAGGTGGTGGGTGAGATTTTAGGTTCATTAAAAGAAAGCTCAGATTTAAAAAAAAAATGTTTAGGAATATCAACTGACATTCTCTGTCCTCAGGTGTCCTGTGACAACCACATCTAAATTCTTCAGGTTCTGTCTGACCGTAAAAGTGAGATTTTGGGCACCATTAGCATCATACTGGAGTCACTGGTACGAACTAGCCACCGTAACCCCTGAGTTCTCCTCAGCACCTTTCCGTGCAAGATACAAAGCGTCGGCAGAAGAGGAGTCGCAGGCCCCACACCCCCAAAGACAAGGTGACCTCAGGAATAGGTTTATCGGTTTATTTCTTGATGAAATAACTCCCGAGAGCTCATGTGAAAACAGCAGGGTGAGCAAAGCACAACAGTGGTCGGTATCCGGAGACACCGCCCAATGCATGTCAAGGGCCTCAGTTTGGCTTCGGTAGGACACAATGCAAGGGTGGGGGCCGAGAGAGCGCAGGGCGAAGCCGGGTCCCCGTGGGAGGGAGGGCTCGGAATGCAGCGTGAGGCTCGGGGGTGAACTCAGAGCCAGATGTCAGAGCTGCAGTCGCCCCCAGGATAGCGGGGCTCGTGGGCCAGGACTGGGCCGAGTGGCTCCTTCCCAAAGTCCACCAGGAAGTTAGGGTTCAGCTTCAGCCCTCCATTTACTGTGTTTACATCAACCTGCAGCATCACAGAACCTTCCCTGGTGGCAATCAGGGGGGGAAAAGAGAGAGGTCAGGGGGCCGCCCCTCCCCCGGGCTTTGTGCTGCAGGAGAGGGTGGGTCCGGAGGACGAGGACGGAGCAGGTTCTGTACTGTGGGGGCAGGTGGGGTGCCCGAGGAGTCTTCAGAAAGCCACATGACCCCTCTGGGAGAGGAGGGCCGGGAGGGGAGCCGAAGCTGTTTGCTTCTCACCTGATGAGCTCGGGGTAAAACTGCTTGTCCCAGGCACTGTACAGCGACGTGGTGACATAGAGACGCTTCCCGTCTAGGCTAAGCTGGATCATCTGGGGGCCTCCGACCACCCGTTTCCCCTTGGGAAAACCAGGGGTCAGTCCCCAGGGCAACACCCGGACACCAGGGCGTGCTCAGACGCTGCCTCTCCTCCCCCACACTCCTCCAGCGGGGTCCTGAGGGCACCCACAAGCAGGCAGAGACCCTCACCTTGACCACCAGGGGCTCGGGCTGGGCTGTGAGCTCCTTGTCCTCCAGCACTTGCACGGGGCCTCCCTTCACAATGCTGCCCCCCAGGAAGAGCTGGGTGGGGAGTGGCAGAGAACAGAGGACCGTGTAGGATAGGGAGCACAGCTCGCCTCAGTCGGACCTCTCCCTCCTCCCCACCCCTCCTAGTACCACGGAAGCTGGGGCTCCCCATGGTCCTGGCCCAGACCATCCCTCAGCCCCCCTCTTCCTCATGCAGCCTCTCTTCTTCCTCCCTCCCTTCCCCCGTCCGGGCAGGGCCCCCACCTGTCCCGTGAGGCGGGGCTTCTGCGGGTCAGAGATGTCATACTGTCGCAGGTCCCCGTGCAGCCAGTTGCTGAAGTAGAGGAAGCGGTCATCCAGGGACAGCAGGATGTCGGTGATCAGGCCTGGGGCGGGCAAGTGGTCCAGAGGCTATGAGCACTCCCGGTGCCCAGGCTAATGTCGACCTTCAATTCCCACCGTCCCCTGGGTACCCACCTGGCATTTCGGGCAGCATCCAGCCCTTCACTTTCTTGGGGGGCACCTGGATCACCTTCTCCACCGACCAAGTGCCTCCCTGGGTTAGGAGGCAGAAGTGAGTTGTCAGGGCTGGGGGTGCGGGCAGATCTGGGTCTCCCCAGGGCCCGCTGCCTACAGAGAGACTGTGGCTACAGTGCTTCCTTGCCACTAGGGTCTAGTTCTGACGCAGGCCCCCAAAGGCAGGGGCTACGTGCCCAGCATCTGCACAGTGCCTGACACAGACGCTCGCACAGTGTTTTTTGAATGAATAAATGAATGAATGAATGAATGAATGAATGAGCGTGGCCAGTTAGGGTTAAGGAAGAACTAGCCTAGAGCTGAGAGTGGAGAGGCAGGTATGTGGCCCGATTTCTCAGTCCTGGCCAAGTTTGGGCTGGCGTGGCCAAGCAGAGGCTCCTGGTCACTCGTAGGGACGGGGGGACGTCATGCCCACAGAAGCCCGGGCGGAGGTGCGGACAGCACTCTGGGAGGATAGGGCCAGAGGGCACATGTCACCTTATTCTTGAAAAAGCGCTGGATGGTGGAGCTGAGGGCACAGCCCACGAAGCCCTGGGCAGCGGCCGGGTCATGCAGGAAGCGGATCTCCAGGGGGCTGAGCCCATCCTGCAATGGCAGAGTCTCCACGATCTCATGGCGCTGCCAGTCCCAGACAGTCAAGAGGCTCCCATATCGTCCTGGGTGGAGACGGGCCGGTGAACGGACTCAGGATCGGGGTCAGAGGGCAAGGGCCATGGCCGGGGCCTGGCCGGGGGCGGAAGGTTGAACACGGATTGGAGGGATGAGGAGGGAGGAGGAAGCGAGAGCTCGAAGCACTTCCTGTGCCATCACTCAAGGCCTGGGGGCCACACGAGGGAGACGAGAGTGCCGGAGAGTGGGGTTTGGGGGCAGAAAGCGGGGCATGTGTGCCCAGGCTCCTGCCGGCCCACGGGGACTGCTCACCTGCCTCTACATCAGCGAGGTTGAAGCCATCTCTGAAGACATTGGGAGCTGCCCATTCGGTGCTGATCATGACATTGTGTCGAGGCTGGTACCAGAAGTCATAGCCCAAAGGCGCAGCACCCCCAGGCCGCTCCCACGTCCCCTTCACCTCCAACGTCTCTCCATCCAGCAGCACGAAGCCCCCTAAGAAGGGCATGGAGTAGGGTGGCAGTAGAGACAGCACCTCCCCCAGCCCTCACCCCCAGGTGTGTTCGAGAGGCTCCAAGTCCATCGCCTGCCGCCCCCTCCTACCCCTGCGTTTGTCAGCGCCTTCAACCAGGTGTGTAGTGGGTCCCACCTCGAGTGTTGCACAGCAGACATTTTCTAAGTGTCAGCTCTGATCGTACCATAAAAGACACAACGGATGTGGGGATCATGAGCCCCAAGGACTGTGAGATTTGCTCATGAATTCACAAAGGCTGACATTCGAGGCGTGCGTTTTCTGGGGCCGTATCTGTGCTCACATCCCCCACAGCAGACTGTTCCGATTATAACCTTAAAGTGAATTCATAGGCGAAGGCCCATCTTTATAGAAATGATCGAAACCAATGAAGTTACTTGACTGTAGTTTAAATATTGGATGAGACCCGGCCCCGCCCCTCCCATCCCCCAGTTTTCCCTGGAAGGTTGTGCCGCTTCTTCCACAGGGAGCAGTTGGGACCTGCTCCCCCCACGGATGCGGCAGCAGGTACCTTTGCCATTGCCCTCCAGGTCTCCCAGGCTGCTGATCATCACCTCGCCGCTGGGCAGGCAGTGGCTGGTGTGGAGGTAGGCCAGGCCGCACTTGGCGTGGATGTCCTTGGGCTCAATGACCTGGAGAGCGTAAGGCCGTCAGACTCTTCCAGGGCCGGACGTCCCCACTCCCTACTCCCTCGCTCGCTCGCTCACTTCTATCTGCTGACACCACGCTCTTTTCCTTCAAAACATGGACACAATTGTCCCTGTGGGAATATAGCGGAAATTCGGTCTGGTCACTTCTGCAGAGCAGCAAGGGAGAGTCAGAGAGACTGCCAACCTCCCCAGCCGGAAAGCACTGACGTCTCCCCGGTCTGTCTTGAAGACACTCACAGCCCTGGGGGACCGTAAACCCCTCCTGGGCCCGCGGACAGCTTTGTCTCACCAGCAGCCCCCTGCCGAAGGGGAGCCCTGGGCTCCTGCCTGGGAAAAATGGCTCCTTCCCCACTCAGAGTAAAAGCGAGAAGCCAGCCCGCTCCTTGCCCTGTATCTCCCTGCCCCATGGCGCTGGCTGGTGACCACTCAGAACGCCTCCGAAACTCTGCTCTGAATCATCTCTCCTCTGGTCCCTGCTCCTGAGCCCACACCCGGCCCGAGAACTGGAGGCAGCTGAGTTGGGCTGGCCTCCTGCCCACAGGGTCTCGGAGGGGCAAGGGCAGGGAGCGCGCCTTGTGCAGCTTCGGGGCGCGGGGCTCGGCGCCCACATCCACCACGTAGACGCGGGAAGATATCAAGCAGGGCAGCACCAGCTTGGTGCGGGACTTGCTGCTGTCCCCGTAGCAGCTGCTGCACGTGTTCCATCCGGAGTGATGCAGCTCGTCCTTCAGGTTGGGCATGGGCAGCCGGTGGATGACCTGGGACCGGGGTGGGGTGGGGGTGGGGGGACAGGGTCATTCTGGCTCGGCCACGCCTCTCTTCGCTTTTGGAAAAGGCGCCCACGGGACTTGCTGTGACCTGGCTGCAGGCGCACGCTGGATTTGAACCCACTGGGCCCCTCCGCGGAGGCCTCCTGCAGCCGGCAGCGCCCCCTCCGCCCCGTATGCTCCCCGCCCCGCCCCCGCCAGACCCAGGGCGGGTTTAGGATAGAGCTGGGGAAGGGCGTCCTCAGGGCCAGTGCTAGAGGACAGGTCACGGGCTACACCTCACCTGGCAGTACTGGGGGGACTTGGGGTCAACGTCCACTGTGGCTAGGTAATCCGGAGCCTCGATGTCCGTGTTTCGGTAAACACAGGGCAGGTAGATAATCTCCTCCCTGGGCCCTGGGGGTAGAGAGCAGACAGTGGGGATGGCAGGCTGGAGCGGAATGGCAGGGTCAGCTGGATGTGCCTGAGGGTGGAGGCCAGGGTTAGAGATCCCCACCCCCATCCCCGCCCCCCCGCGGCGCTGGCATCAGTAGAGGGCGCCTGCTCGCGGGGTCCCTTCCCAGGTGCTGGGGTCTCAGACGTTGAGCGCTTACCTTTCATGGCCTCCAGAGGGCTAGGGTACCCGGGCCCACACTTGCCACATCCTGCTGCTGTGGAAACAACGGGGCGTGTTGGCTGGACCACGCTCTGGGGGGAGAGGGCGCTCCCCACGTGCTGCAGCACGTCCTGCCGGCGGCCACGGCAGATGCGCTGTCCCAGGTCCTCGCCCTGCCCCAGCTGCGTCAGCCCTCTGCCCCTCCTCTCTGCCCCTCGAAGCCCTGATAGTGTGTGGACGTGGCCGGGAGAGCTGCGCAGATGCGACCCGCAGGTGCACAGACGCTCGACAGGGCCCACCCGGGGCAGACTGGGGGGCGCAGTGGTTATGACATTGACTTGGGTCTCGATCCCGGCTGGTCTCTGGCTAACCGGGGGAGCTCGGGCACATAACCTCCTTGGTCTCAGTTTCCATGTCATCTATTAAAGGAGGGTAATAAGAAGGCCACCACGGGCTTTTGGCAGAAGTCACCACGAAAGTGCAGGCAAGTGTGCAGCTCTGTGCTTGCTGTTTGCAGCCAGGGCACCCTGGCTGTCCCCGAGGAGCCAGCGTGGTGCCAGTTCACTCTCTCCCCTGAAAGCTAACTTTCCCAGGGACGCGGACACTTCCTGCTTTTCTCCCCTCTGGTTCTGACTCCAGGCTGCCGGCCAGGGCCCGGATTACATAACAGAGGATCTGGTTAAGGAATAGAAAGCTAAAGTTCAAGGCTGCAGGGCTGGTAGCTCCTGGATACCCTTAGACCAGTTTCCACCCCTGGGTGGTCCCCACTTCCATGATCTGTGAAGCAGGGTGTTGGGCCCAACTCGGGGGAGCTCAGAGGCCCGCACCCCAGAGCTAGGGAGTGTGGCTGCCCTGACCCCGGAAGTCTGGAGACAGCAGGGAAGTCGCTGCCAAGGAGGACAGCTGGGGGGGGGGGGCTTGGGGGCCTGACCAGGAGGAAGGGCGAGGAATAGTGGGAAGCTGTCCCCACTATAGTGGAACCCCAGAGTGGAGGCCGCAGGACTGGGCATCCCTCCCTGCCCAGTCCCAAGGTCAGTCTGGCCTCTGTCCTGACCGCGGGGCCCTGCACACGGGGAGCCGGGAGGAGCCAGGTTGAACCAGCGCTGGTGCGGGGCCCAGGCCCTCGGGCAGGAAGCAGGTCCTCCTGCTTGCGGGAACCGAGGACTTGGGAGGCCAAGAGGCAGCGAGAGCGCTTTGGAGTCCAGAAACCAGGTTTCACGCTCCGCGTTTGACACCCACGCTCTCCGCTTTCGCCCCTTCATTTGCTACAAGGGGATAATGTTCTACGAAGTCCGGATCAGACTGTGTGCAGCACTTCTGCGAGGGCGAAGGGCTGTACCAGCATAGGTGGGCCCTGCCAGGAAGGGGGATCCCAGGTACCACTTGGTGCTAAGGACGAGGGTGGGGGCGGGCTGAGGGAGAGAGAGGAGTTAAGGAGACTTGCGTCGCTAAACAACCAAGCTGTCAGGGCCCAGAGTGGGGCGAGGGGGAGGAGACGGGGCTGCCGGACACAGTGGGAAGGCAGCCAACACCCCAGACACGAAGACAGAGCTGCAAATGCGGCCAAGCCAAACGGAGACTGAGAAGCGACAGTGTGAAGGAGGAGGTGCCGCCTGCATCACCGCTCCCCCCGCCCCCTTGTACCCCGCTTCAGGAAAGGTCTCTGAACATCTTGGCTTCGAGATGAACCCAAGGAAAGCTCGTGAAGTTTCCCCAGTGCCAGGCTGGCTGCTGGGCATCCTTCCTGCCCAGGAAAGAGCCAGCTCCAAGGCGACTAGGACCTCAGCTCTCCAACCAGACCCAAACTCCTCCTGGTCTGACATCCATTCCCACGCGTGGGGGATAGGAAGCCTTCGGGAACTGAGAGGGTGGGGGTTGCTGCGACAGGCCCCAGTGAGAGTGTGGGCTTCTTGATCGGCCCCCTGCAACCCACTGCCACCCCAAGTGGCTGGTGATTCGGGGCAGCTGGAGAGCAGGCCCAGACATGGAAGGCGTGGGTTCCCTATATCCTGCAGGGGAAGTTGGCCCAGAACTGAAATCAGGATTGTGTCTTTTAAGGTAACAGCCAGGGACATAGAGGTTCCACACCAAAGTACCCTGCACCTGCTTTTCTCAGGTGTGGAAAGGCACCCTGACTCCAGGCCGCAGCTGGGGAGCTGGATGGAGCCCAGAGCCACCCTTCCCAGAAGTCCCTCTACCTTGCCTCCAAGTGTGTACAGAACTTTGGCTAAGCTGGGAAATGCACAAGTGGGGGTGGAGCGTGGACGGCTGAACAGAGTCCAGCCGTCCATCCCTTAACCAGCTCTCACCCTCACTCAGGCTTTTTCCACTTCCCGGAGGGTGGGCTGCGGTGGGCAGTGGGGGCTGTGGTGGTCGGAAGCCCCTCCTTACCCATGCTGCTGGCTGGCTGGCTTTGTTCTTGCCGGAGAGAGCGGAGGACGGAAGCTGTGCGGGCGTCTGAGGCAGGACGGACTGGGAGGCAGAGCAGGGCCCAGGGCGAAAGGGAAAGGATTTATCTGACCAGCGGGGTGGGCGGGGCAGTGGGAGGGCCAGGGCTGCACCCCAAGGGAGTTGGCAAGGTTGGCTGGCCAGGAATCTCTCACATGGCCTGGGCAGCTGGTATCTGAGTTATGGGGGGGGGTGTGTGTGCGCACATGCGCCTGTGCCTGTGCACATATCTCTTTGGTGGGTGCCTGGGCGTGTGTGATTGTGTGTCGCTGTGTGTGCCTGATCCCGTGCACCTGTGTCGGCCGTGTGGTGGTGTCTGTGTGTGCGGCTGCATGCGCGTGCCTCTGTGTCTGTGTGGGAATGTGTGAAAACCTGTGCTTGTGTAAGTGTGTGTGTCCGTGTCCAGACTTGCGCCTGTGTGATGTGTGCGTGTGGGCACGTGCGTGTGCACGTGTCTCTTCCTTCTCCAGCCTCCACACACGTGTGTCTGTACCTGGACCCGTCTCTCGACATTCAGGGGGACCCAGGGCTGTGGGCCCATGTGCTCCTACCTCCCCAGCCAGGGCTGCTCTCCCTAACGTCAGCCTTTACTCAGACTTCTGTGCTCCAGCAGGCACCATCCTACCCCCTCCCAGAGCCTGCAAACTCTTTCCTCCTGCCACAGCTGCCCAGCAGCGACCAGGCTGGGCAGCGTGTCCAGGCTTGCTTTCCCCGGCCCCATGTCTTCCTCTTAAGCTTTGAAATGGAAGGAGAGCCCTCAGTGCCCATCATCACCCTCATAAGCCTCAGGAAGGGGAGGGGGAGGGGGGCCTCGCCCTCCTGTCCCAGCCTGGCTCCCCAACAGCTCCCCAGGGTTGGGCAGCAAGGCCCATGGGCAGCCAGCATGATGCCACTGTCCCTAGTTTGTTAAGAGTGGAAAATTTTCAAGTGAGCAAACTAGCTAAGTCAGCTACGGGGAAGAAATATCTTTAGATATCAGAAGTTGTCCTACTTGCTTGCGTGTGGTTTAGGACGTGTATTGTATAAAATATGTAGGTGGCCGATGTCTGCTTCTGTAATCCATTTACTTGTTAACTAAGGGTGTTGTTCCGGGCAAAGATATGCTAAAAGCCAACTTCCACTTCTGTAATCTGCTGGCTCGTTCAGGAGACCACCAGGATATGGTCTTGAGCTTTATCAGCTGCCTGCTCTGAAAGCTCGGGGCTGATCTCCTCTAGTCCTGCGTGGTAGAGAGTCAGTCGCCGGCCGGCTAATAAAGGCTCATAATTAATCTCAATTGGCTCCGTGGGTCTCAGAATCGTTCGCGCCATAACAAGTTGAGTATGACAAGTCGCAAAACCTCCAGGGTCTTTGTGTATCTAGGAAGGAGTCCTCCAGCTGGAGGATTCGATGACCGCCAGGGCGCGGAGCCTGGCCAAGCCTGTGAGTATAGCTCCCGGGGACACTATACTCCATGACAACTGCTTGCTGAAGAGTCACCTGAGGCTTGATCTGCTAACCCCTCTTGGGTAGCCCCCTCTCTGGAGAAGCCAGGGTTCGAAGGGCTAGACAAGTGATCCCCCGCAAACTGGTCTCCATCCTGGGGCCGAGGCTCCTTCTTTCCCCAAAGGTGAAAGGTGACCTGACAGGTGACCCCTGCCCACTCTTTGATGAACCTGCTGATTCTGTGACGACAGAGCCATTTTCATCTCCTTGCAAGAAAGCTCTGGGGTGACTTTTTTATTTTATAGCGAAAGGGACAAAGTCTGGGCTTGAGATTGCCAGCTCAAAGAGATTTATCAGAAGAGACAAATGGAAAGGTTTGGTTCCCGAAGCAGAGTGGAGGGAAGGAGAGCCGAACTGGTCTGTCCTCCTGGGTCCCATGGGTGAGGCGCCATATGCCCACAAGGCAACATCTTCTGTGGCCGCCCAGGGCAGGGGGCCTCCCTTACCCCCAAGTCACTCACCCCTTGCGCTCTCTCCCGTGTCCGCATCCTGCCGTGCGCGTCAGCCAGGCTCCCTCAGTCAGCCTCAGGGTGCAGCTGCCCCACAGGGCCGCCCCTGAGGGCGCTTCCTCCCCTTTGCCGGCCTCCTGTGTCCTGGCTGCCTCCATGGACGCCTTCATCCTGCCTCTCTGGTTCTCTTTGTCCTGGAGGCTCCAGCTCCTACCTGCTGCCCACCCTCCTGCTTTTCTGCTGGAGGCAGCTCAACGCCCAAGACCTGGAGAAGGAAGAAACCTCATCCCCACACTCTCACCGAAAGCGCTAGACTTAGCCGTCAGCCAAGGGGTGATTTGGCTTGTCCCAGTCCGTCCTGTCACAGGGTGTTTCGCGCCCCGTGCTCTGACCTGGCTGGTCCCCAGGGGCTCCTCCACGGCTCCCCTAGCCTCAGGATTTATACTGATTCATCTGGCTCCGGAGCTCACAGTTTTCCCATCAGTCCGTGCTCTTTCTTGCGTGTTCTGCTTTGCCCGTTTTGGTGGGGAAGCGGGCGGGGAGGTCCGAACCAGAAGGAATGGGGAAGACGTGGTGTCCTGTGTCTGGTAGTCTCTGTCCTGAGACACTCTGAAATGGGGAGACAAATGCACAGGTGCCTCCCAACAGAGCGATGAAGTCTATGGGAGAGGCGGGGGGGCGGGGAGGCCTGTGAGGTAGGAAAGTCTGAGGCTGTGCTTCCACGTGCTAACCGTGGCTGCCTTTGCTGAGGCACAGGAAGAAGAGATTGATTTTCCATTTTCACCTGTATTTCCGTATTTTTTTTTAAAAATAAGCATGTATTACTTTTGTAACCAACACCCCAAATAAAGCTGTGTATGTGTATCTATATATATATACAGTATCATAATATTTATATAAAAAGAAGAGCAATCATATATGGTATAGGTGAGGGCCACCGTGGGACCCCATCCTGGGGAGGACTGGCCCTGGTCCCTTTCACCCTGCAGCTGCCCCACCAACCTGCCCGCTCTGTCCTTTGAGAAAACACATATGTGCATGGTCATTCATTCATTCGTTCATTCAATCTTGCACTCCACAAACGTTTATT